ATCTTACATAAGGGAATATGGTAGGTATGGTTTTTATATATTTCTTTAAGTCCTCCATCATAAAGTACTGAAATCCACTTTTGACCTGATCCAAAGTAGACTAATGTCACTGTGAGTTTTTTCATAGAGTTCAATGGACTCTAGATGAACACTTCAGTGCTCATATGCTAATAATATGAGGCAGGTCCTTCACTTGTTACTTCCCCTAGAGATCAAATTCAGATATTGGAATTTTGAACTTCCTTTGGAGCTGAAGAGTCAGTTATGAAGAGTATATTTTGTACCAATACATGATCCATCTATATTTTAGTAACAGGAAATGAAGCAAATTTTGTGTGAAGTACTTCAGCGTCATTTTGTCTAGATTCATGGAAAACTGTGCTTTTCAAATGCACAAGTCATTTGAAACTTCGAGGTGTTGCACAAAAGATGCATCAGAACAAAACACCCTGAGAAACAAAAAGGAGAGAGGAGAAAGGGAAGAGAAAATGAGAGAAAGTGAAAGAGCAAGAGTGAGAGAAAAAAGAGAATGACTGAAAGAAAAATAAAGAAAAAATTAAAATTAAAATAAAGAGGAGAGAAAAAGCCCTTACTAAACTGAACTTTAAAACTCGAACTGTTTTCCAGTAAAAGAACTAGTTTCTGCCATTTACAGCTTTTGCAAAACCAATATACTTTGAAAATAGTTTAAAGATCTACTCTAACAAACTTAATACTGTAGTTTTTATGAACCATTTTATGCTGATTTTCAAGTCTAAGTTAGCTCCAGTAGGAGCTGAGAGTGCTCACCACTTCCCAGAATCAGGTCCTGATGGCCTATTATTTATTCAAACGCACTCCCTCTTCTCCACCCTCTGACTAGCACAACTTAACTGTATAGAGCAAGCATATGTATGTATGGAAAACAAAGGAAGTGGAGGGAAATAAACCATATTAAAGATGATGGTAGCACTAACAGCTGTTTCTAAATCAGCACGTCTGAGCCAGTCTATTGAGCACATCTGCTTACTGGCACGAAAGCAGAGTTTCTTTTCCCTTAGTCAACAAGTTGTTTAGCATCTGCATCTCCACATCTGATGATTAGGCTGTTACTTCAGATACAAGTAAATGATTTCACATTGCACATCTCCTGATGTACACGACCAATGTTTTTGATGTGACCAATTTACTTTCAGGTCTACTCTGTAGGAATTACAGAAGGACATGCAAAACAAGGAGGTTGACATTGTTAGTGTCTACATTACTAGAGTAATCATTGTATACTTATGATATATAGGTCCATAGTAGGCTTAAAGGCCACATTATGTGCTGTCTTGCATGTGTATCTTTAATACAACGTCATGATGTGGACATCAACTCATCATTTTGGTTCCAATTAAGCATATCACCTAAACTTCTCATTTAATACTACTTCTTCAGCAGAGCACTTCAGTCACATTAACTTTAAGGAGTTGGCTTCCACCATGCTCTGTAGAATGAAGATGCTTTTTCTTGACATCGGACTTTAGCATTTTGTACATAAAGAGAAAAGATAAATGGATACCTTCTATAATTAATATTTCTTAATAAAGACATTCTTGTCTGAAAAATTAAAGCACAACTACTTTAGTTGCACTATCTGCTGTCTTTCTTCTTTCAAGAAAAAAGACATTTCTCTTTAAAAAAGCTCTTTGATGAAATGAAAGATTCTTTCCTAAAATTAGGTTTTCTATTCCAAGTTTTAGTGGCATGAGTCCC